CACTGAGTGTCAGCTAAGGGCCTAATTTCCTTTAATCCTCATGGTAGTCCTGTGAGATGTAACTATTCCCACTTTCTGGATGAGGAAACTGAGGCTCCACGTGGTGATGTCACCTGCCCGAGGTCTCACAGTTACTGGGTGGCAGACCTGGGACTTGAACCCAGGTCAGTCTGATTCTAGTGTCTGCACTTTGAACTCTACACTAGTAATCCAAGGCCAAGACCTGTTCTAGTTTGGGGAGGGGGTCCCATGGGAGCAGAGAAGCTTCCTGCAGATACCAGCCACACGCCATTTCTCCCCTTACCCTGCTCAGTTTTCCTTCTTTGCACTTACTGCTTTTTTTTTTTTTTTTTTTTGAGGGAGTTTCGCTCTTGTTGCCTAGGCTGGGGTGCAGTGGCACGATCTCAGCTCACCGCAATCTTCTCCTCCCAGGTTCAAATGATTCTCCTGCCTCAGCCTCCTGAGTAGCTGGGATTACAGGCATGTACCACCACGCCCGGCTAATTTTGTATTTTTAGTAGAGATGGGGTATCTCCATGTTGGTCAGGCTGGTCTCAAACTCCCGACCTCAGGTGATCGACCTGCCTCGGCCTCCCAAAGTGCTGGGATTACAGGCATGAGCAACCACGCCCAGCTGATTTACTGCCATCTTACATATGTTGGCAGAGGTTTGTTTTTTTTTTTTTTTTGACAAGGTCTCACTCTGTAGCTCAGGCTGGAGTGCAGTGGCGCGATCTCGGTTCACTGCAGAGGTTTTTAATACCCATTAGTGAAACTAGAAGATTAGGCTTCAGTCTCAGCTGGCCCACTGACTTTTTGTACGACCCTCAACCAGCCCCTGCCCCTGTCTGGTTTCCTATCTATAAAACAGGAGGTTTAAGCAGGCTAGATAATGAAGGCCAGAGAATCCCATTAATCCCCCAACACACCAGGCTGAGGGGAAACAGCAGAAAGTTTTCGGGTTCTGGGCTGGGGGACCTTTTGGGAGGTCTCACTCCCAGCAGCTCCACTCCCTCGTCCTCGTCCTCTGAGCTCTGGGCCAGGGTCCTGGAGGAAAACAGGCAAAAATCTCAGGACACAGCAAACCTGGGCAAGTGTGGGTAACAGTGTAAGCAGGTGATGAGCATTCGTTCACTCCTCTGAGTACCTATTTATTCCTTTACTCACACACCCACCAGTCCATCCATCCATTCATCCACCAATCCACCTTCTCATTTATCCAATGATCCATCACCCATCCACTCACCCAAACAACCTCTATCCATTTATCCTTCCATTCATCCACCTATTTATCCACCTAGTTGTCCTCCATCTATCTATCCATCCTTCCACCCAGCCATCTACCATCCACCCATCCATCCATCCATCCATCCATCTGCCATCCATCTACCATCTGTCTGCCAGCCATCCACTATCCATCCATCCATCCATTGATCCATCCATCCATCCCTCCATCTATCCATCCATCCATTGATCCATCCATCCATCCATTAATCCATTGATTCATCCATCCATCCATCCGCCATCCATCTGCCATCATCCATCCATCCATCCATCCACCATCCATCCATTCATCCATCCATCCACCCATCCATCCATCCGCCATCCATCCACCATCCATTAATTCATTGATTAATCCATCCACCATC